AACGCTCACAACTTTTTTGGTAGACTCATTTTGCAGTTTTAATTTCCAAGTTTGTTAATAACTTTCCAAGCCCAATCGATATACCTAGGCCTTTATTCAAAGTTCCGGATGAACTTGAAAACCTTCCCTGGTCAGATGTCTTCGGCAGTAATTTTTTCCTTTTTGTGATATTGTGACGCACTGGCTGCTTTCATAGTCCGCCGGCGTGCCAGCCGAAGTAGTGCCAGGGGGGAGGAGGGAGGCAGACGGTCGATGACGCGGTCGCGTCGCGTCCAAGCCCCTTGAAGAGCTGAAAACAAAGAAAAACAAGATCAAAAACCAAAGAACCAGGGGCTTATGCAAATGGTTTTTGATGATGTTTTTCTTTGTTTTCAGCCCTTCGAAGGGGCTTGGACGCGAAGCGACCGCGTCTACCGACCGTCTGCCTCCCTCCTACCCCCTAGCACTAACTCGGCTGGAAGCCGGCACGCCGGCTCGCGCGCACGTCGGCGGACTATGAAGGCAGCCACTTTACACATGCATGGCCACAGGGTTCTGATCCTGATGTTCGTAATATTCGGCCAACCGAGCCTTCCATCCCTCCGGGGTCCGTTCATTGATACCAGACTTGTCTGTGAGGATAAAAGCACTGACTTGCACATCTGCTGGTCACCGCAGCTCATTGTGTAGGTCACATTCAGGCATTCAATACGCCACTATGATTCTGAATGGAAGTCGAATGCGTAGCACACCCCTCAGACAAGACTAACTTTTCAGTGTCGTTCTTGAAAACATCATGCGATAATCGGAAAGGGAAGACTCTGATGAAGAGGAACTTTTTAACCCGTCAGAGCTTTGCAGACGATGTCGTGCTTTTAACAGCGGACATAGAGCAGGCGGAACGAACGCTGTCTGAATTCGACAGCGCTTGTGGAAAGATAGGCTCACAGCTACACCTAATGAAGTTGATGTTCACGAGAAACGGACTGATGCTCCTGCACGCTAAACGAAACGTATTCTCTTGATACTCTAGCAGGATGAGCATTCATTCAGCTTCAGCCATACAACGCGCTATACAAAGGAGAAAGCAGAAGGGGATCCGGCGTTTCGAGCTCGTTAACGATTGTAGATCACAGTTGCCGCTGTCACGTCAAAGAATCGAAAAATATGCCGCTGTCACGCCGAGGAAACGGAAAACAGGCCAGCCGAACACGTGCGATATTGCGATGACCGTTAGTCAAGAGAGGCTACTGATTGTATCCCTCGGGACGTCATGTGAACGTGAGGACGGCCGCTAGCGCGCTAGTCAGATTTCTCCGGACGAAAAGCATGTTATGCCTTGAACCTCTCGTGCAAGGACGCTCCACTGGATTACTCTGGCTCGCGACAGGGACGAATAGAGACGTTACTGGTGAGGAATTCGACGATCAACGGGACGACAGATGATACAAGTTTATGAATCACCACACACAGCATTCGTTCAGACAATATTGAGATAGGTTGGAGTCACGTCAAATTCCAATCGTGGGCCTGAATGAAGCTAGACTATTACATGAATGTTATAGAATCACAGGTCCCAAAAAATGGGCGTACTATGGTTATTGTCGAAATCTCTGATTGTGAGGCGTGATTAGGGCCTTCAGTCAAATTCTTTCATGCATTCACTCAGGTGTTCCTTCCCTCCTACCATTTTCTGGTGTTGAGCGATCTGGATCGAATGCGCTCACAGTCACTATTTCATCACCAGGTAATGCGGTCTTGCTGACAAGGGCGAAGTAGTGACTGCGTTCAAACAGCGGTCCATTATCGTTCCTAAAAATGATTCATGTTAGCGATGTCAGCTCTCTCACCATTGTGAACCATAATGATTTCCTCATTGTAGAATGATTGGTGACACCATTGTTGTATAAGTGCCGATGATACGAATAAAGATTATATCAGTAAGTGACATACACATCCGCGACTCGAATGCGAAGTGACATCCATACCATAATCTCATTAGTTTTTGCGTCCTCGTTGTTGATCGCGCCGATTTCCAACCTTGAAATTACCATTTTCCCCTTCTTTTCGACTCTACGACATAAGAATAGAATTTCTAACACGCCAGAAAAATCGCAACGCTTCAATTTGCAAAAAACCATTGCAAACCTGTATATGTCATTGATTTCCCTGTCAAGACTTGATACCACTGTAACCTCGCCAGTGGTTGCGTTCAAAGCAAACTCTTCGGAATGGAGGCGGAAACGGTAGAAAACTGTCTGTGATTCGTCGTTGTCCACAGCACGCATAGTAGCGATTAGTGTACCGGTAGCAACATCTTCTGGTACCTAGCAATAGCAACTAATAGAGGCAATAGCAACTATTAGAGAAGATTGATTATTAGCAGCCATATAGACAATAACCCTATAGCTCATGATTGCTTTTTTTTTGAAGATTGGAAATTTTTCTTCCCTTATGAAGGTTTTCTCAAACTTCTTGTTAGCTTGCATTTGTTGGCCTGTCAAAGAGTCCGAGAATAGCTCCATATACATAACTTCTAATCAAAAATCAATTCAATACACACACTATCGTGTCCCCAGCGACGGTACATGATCGAGGGTATGTGGACTTACGCGCGTCCGAGGATGCGCGCGGCAAAATGGGTGCTAAGTTCGTAACGATTCCAACGTCTTTAGCGCCTATCATTGGGACCCAAATCTGAAGTAGAGTAGATTAGAGGATCATCTGACCCTACCGAACTGCTCTACTTCGAGTGTGTACCCCGAAGATTGGCGTCAGAGCCGTACAAATCGTTACGAACCTCGCCGCGCAAGTTGCCGCGCGCGTCCTCGGGTGCACGTAATGTGCGTCCCCCATGGCCGTAGGTCACGACATGGCATCTTTTTCAAACATGGTTATGAAGCAGAGACCTTTTTGAAGCGATTCTCATCTTCACCTCCGTTGATCTGAGGCCTCAGCATTGTTAAAAGCGTTTAATGCTTCTTTGCCAAACTTTTTCCTTGATGAGGGTGCAAATGCATTGATGCCATTATTATTTTGTTCCACTTATTACTAATCATTATTCCCATCACCTCCAGCATATATCTCTTTGCCTACCCCTACATGTTTCGTGCGGTGGTGGAGGCAGTGTAGGGGAAGTGCAGCTCAAAAACGTACACAGTCCGGGATTGAATCTAGGGCCAATACTCGCCCAGATCAACTTGGGCTGCCATCCTTCTGGGGCAAGACTAACCCGATAGAACAAAACTTTGGCTTGTACATTGGCTAGCCACTCAAATGATTTTTCAGACTATACCGGCTCAAACGCGACCATTGTTCTTGATGATGTTCACTGCGTCGGTAAATCTCAAACCATGACTGACCAAAGCAAAAAATGTGGCGAACAGTTGCTGCCACTTCAAGTCCTCCTTTATATATGATTCCAGGCTCTCTTACTGTTAAAAGGTTCTAATGAGGTTTTATCGGCTATAATAGCTTTTTATTCTATAATACATTGTGCTCTTGTCTCACTCAGCCTTTTATTTAACATTAATCCTTGTCTCACTCAGCATGGCACTTCATGGTGACATATATAATAAATGAGACAAATTGCGCTATGATCTTATAACACAGCTTTCATACAATCATACAAGTACTTTTCGATTGATAACTTTTCCATCACACATCTTTTGTGACCCGTTCCATCCACATTTCCTTTCTATCATACAAATTTTTTCCATAAAAAAAACAACTTATTATCATATCAGTGACTTTTACCTTCAGACGTCTGCTGTCGATTCTTAGTATTATAGTTGTAATCCTTTCTGTGCTTTTTATGTCACAATCCCTTCAAACCTAAATGTCAAGCGTCCGCTCTTAACATGAATGCAGTTTGGAATCAAGTGGCTACTACTCTTTAGGGGTGCTCATAAGCATGTCCGACTGTCTTCTACCCCTAATCATCAGCACACCCTTGAACGAAGAAAGTTATCAATTCCCGAAAATGCACATGAAACTATAACAACATGGCATATAAATAAATAAATATATGTGCAATAGTTGTGGGTTGTTGTCAAAAAAACACAAGTCACCTACCTCTACAGTAACATTATCGAGCACCGCCGTCAGAGGGTGATCATCAACATCCAATATTCGCAGAGTACTGGCCAACTGTACGAAGTGATGGGCACCAGCTTGAAGACCCAAGACTAGCTAAAGTAGAAACTTTATTCTCATAATTCTTCTACCGTCATTCGAATTTATTTCCCAGTTGTTTCCATCAGTACTGCTAACTGTCATGTTTCATTTACTATAGATGCACTCTCTGGAATCGTCGTCAACTCGTTCAGAGACTACTTTCAAGGGTCAGATTGAGTCAAACCTTACAGGAATGAAAAGAGAGAAGTAGATTTGAAAACTAGAGCTCATAGGATGAGGCGAGAGAAAAGTTTCATCTAGCGTTCAGTCTGCTGTTCCTTACTAAAGTCACTTAAAGTCACTAGATATTTCCATATTAACAATTAGAATGCGCCCACGACAGCTGTACCGGATAGTTTGACTTCTCTTCGTAGTCAAACGGCACTCGACTTCGGATCCTGCCGGTGTTGACGTCTATAGAGGCGATGTCCGTTTCGCTGGTGTACTTATGAGCACGTGCATCCCAAAGATGATACTTAAGCTCACATTTGCTGTCGAGGGTAGCAGCTGATGCGGTACCGATTGTCAAACCGGCTGGACTATTCTAAAATATGTCAGACTTCTGACTGAAGTATTAGGTTCCTTTTGCTATCTCTAAGTGAGCCTTTGATGAAGCATTATGCCTAACCTCTTTGACGATGAATTCGATATTTTCCGCACCGAGAAACACTGGAATGCACTTGTAGGCTCTCAAAATGTGCAGCTTCACATCGGCTGACGCATGCTGTCTATCTTTGATAGCACGAATTTGGAATTCGTGCATTCCAGCATTACCTAAGAAAAAATGATAGCGTTAGTAATGACGCCCTGTGATTAGGACGACGGTGAAAGCAGGGCATTTGAACACTAAAACCCTATAACCTACCCTGCAACTCCTCTTTGACGGTGATACGCCCGCCTAAATCAATATCGAGAATGTCTTTTATTATATTGGCATCGTTCAGAGCCTCTATAAAGTATTTAACACCGCTCGAATCAGGAATGAGGAGCTGTAAAGGCATAGGAATTAGATTGCTCCTCTCTGTAAACGAACGTAATTGGCAGCAGTAGAAGGCGACAAATTACCTCGGCATTGAGTACATATCCATTAACGGGCGAATTTTCCATCACTCTAACCTCATACGAGCTATTTTCAAAAAATAGCTCGACATTTTCATGTGATGGTGATACCGTGATGTGGATCTAGATAGCCTCTTCATTATCTTGAAATCGATATAGGATTCCTCCTCTTTCGTAGCTTACCGGTACTGTGCCTGATGTTTTCAAATATTCAGCTTTTGCGACAAAGCTTAAATCTGATCGAGGAACATTAATTACTGAGTCTTTAAGTCGTATTGCACCCTGAAATTCATTTTTTCAGCTGTTCTTGGATAAATGAAGAGAGAACGAATTTGGCATTCTTTCGGAACCAGAAACTTATTTGATACCGAAGTCAGCAATTGCTTTTAAGAATACCTCATTGTTTACTGAGAAAAACATGGCATCAGCACCCTCAAGACTATACGATTTAACAACATCGTGGCGATCAGTCCGTGCTGTGACCATAGCAACTGTGGTCCCTAAAAGAGAAAACCCTATTTCTGTAAATCATTTCTACATTCCGTGCTCTCTGAATTTACCAAATCTCTTAAAACATTAGCCTCAATGTAAGGACCTCCGAGTCGTTAATTACTCTACTCATATTGTCACACTGCAAAGACAGGGTAAATTCTCTCTGATTGGTGCTTTAGAGCTCAAAATTTCCTTCACTTTCCGGCTGAAGCGAAAAAGATTCGTGATCACTCAAAAGGGCAAGAGCCCTCGCATGCCAGTTGAAGAGTGTGGAGCACTGGATGGAAGATAGTATATCTAAGAACCGCTTACTGTGATGGTTACAAAACATATACGTGGGAGCTGAATTTTTCAGAAAGAAAAAACTCATCAAGTAAATCGGTTCTCTTCACACTGCCTGAGTAGTATCGTTTCGTGAATACTATTCCATGGACTTCAGGCTGAGCGACGGACACTGTTAGATTCACTTGTGTCCTTTCTTCAGCCGATGAGTCCGCGACGGTGACCATTATCAGAGCTTTACTTGATTCGTTGAAAGTACGAGTAGTTGTAATTGTGCCTGAACAAAAGTGTCTCATGTACTCGTTTGTTCTGAGAACGTCAGATGCCCTTATGCGTGTGATGGGAATGTGCATACATATATTTACGAAGAAAAATTAGGGTAATCAAAGTGTAGATGGCCATGATTTTTACATAAACACCGTTTTACCTTTACACATGCTTAACTGAAGCACTGATTATCTGTCTATCGGCAGCGTGTAAGTCATACCTGTTGAATGATCAATTTCGAATGCACCAGAAGATGATTCGATATCGTAACTGAGTGCGGTAGAGTTCGATATAATACTCTGAAGCAGCATCGGCCTGTAGACAATCGATCTGACGTTTGCGTCTCCACTGATCTCAACCACCCGAGGGAACTTAATGACCCATTTGAACGAAGCTGTACAGGAGAAAGACAAACAGGAAAAGTATCAGGTTGCAAAAACTCGAAGAAACGACATACTCAAAAAATGTGTCAAACCTTAATAAGCTCGAATGGAAGAAGTCTACCGGTGACCAGTATGTGGTTTCGTAAAATAGCCACATGTTGAATAACTAAAGTGGATATTGCAGCATCTTGTTCGAAAAATAAGACAGATTTTATAGGTTTTAGTCTATGATCCTTCATTAAAGAGGACGGGTTATGTTCATTTTGAAGATTGCTGACTACAACTTTTTTGCTGTTGCTCGGTCGGCTACGATTTTTATAATTATCTAAATAAGCATGCTTCCATGATATCGACGATTTCCAGGGGAGATGTTTCTTGCAAATAAATAAACTTTGCAACATCTAAGAGCGCGATTATGAGTGCTTCCTATGATTCATGGATAAATTCCGACCTCGAAATCTGCGGGCCAGAATTTTAGAAGCAAGGAGATCATTCCTTATCAAAGCGCGTGAAGGTATCCAAATGCAAATTGGGGCCTACTGATCCCACGAAGTTCAACGAGTGCATATATAATGAAAGTCGGTCTTTCAGTATTAGAACGCTACCAGGGATTCAGAAACAAAGAAAATAACATGGCTGCACTGCTTTAGCCCGATTGAGTTCGATAATTGGCCAGGCCAATTCCTCTAGAAGTCTACAATTTAGGACAAATAAATAAATAATAGGGGTGAAATATTAGGTTGATGCATAACTATTGCGGATTTTTTCGGATTTTTCTTTTTTTCTCACGACAGAATTTGAATATTGAGTTCGAGTTTTTTCTAGAAATGATCTACTTGATTTCCTCTACAAAAATGTACCTAGAAAACCATCCGAATATTCGCGCAATTGTGCTCTACTTTTTCGAGAAATGTTGGAAGATGGCAGAGTCATTCCTCGATCTCAATCACTTTTCGGCGATGGAAAAACCAGCCAAAGCCAACCAAGAAATGGGATCTGCCCCTAAATCTGCCATATTTACCAGCAGAAACTTCTATGAATCATCTCGTCATCCGGTCGCTGAAAAATGACTAGAGAATAGAAGTTACGTCGATTTGGATGACTTGATGGCCGATGTCAAGGAATGGTTCGCCCGTAAGGATCAAAACTTCTTCGCTTTTGGGACCCGACTAACTAATCAATGGGAAGCAGTGCTTGACGTAGATGGTGAATAAGTTGCGGAGTAATTACTTGAATATGTCTTTGCTTGGTATTTCTGTAGTTTCTTCAAGTAAAATTTGCTGGAAAAAATCCGCAATAATTATGCATCAACCTAATGTATAGAGGCTGGTAAGAGGTATATATAGAGGTATAGTGGGTGCAGGGGAATTAGAAAATATTAGAATAATCGTGTTTGACCGTCAGGGAATCATGTGTA